CAATGTCAACTGCTGCTGAGGGATTGACTGTGAACAACTACCTTTCTACCTTTGCTCTCATCCTACATGAGCAAAAGCCATGTTATTATTTGAGGATTATTTGGCTCTTTGTCTGAGTCAGGTATGGTAAAGAATTGTTTATAGGTTGGATATCATCATTTCATACTACAACATACATACCTTTCCTGTAGTAACTGAATGGCAATAAATGAACACAGGTATTCACCCAAGACTGCAGAAGAAATGTTATTTGCATATGTGTTCTTATCCTACGCTGCTTGTACCAAAAGTAGAGTTTTGTATTTCTTAGGGTTGTGAGTTAACATTCTGCTTTTTGCCATGTTTTGGGAATTTTAAGGGGCCATTAGACAAATTGGTAGAATTAATAAGTTGCATGCTCTTCTTTTTACAGAAACCCCAGAAGCATTTTGAATAATATTCTACAGTGTCAAAATTTTAACCTGCAAGGATCAGCAATTTGCTAGAACAGAGCAAACTTGGCTAGCTATTTTCTCCAGGATCTGACAAAAATTTTAGAGAATAAAATGTTCCAGTAATCATCTTTTCAAGTATCTGTCAGTTTTTAATCCTTTTCCTCCTTTCTTTTTTCAGAAGCACCATATGTTAGTTAAAAAAAATAACAATCAAAAAAAGAAAAAAATAAACCACAAAAAATCCCCAACATATCACGACTGTTCTTTCATTTCACTTTTGTGCTGAATCATAGTGTTCTGTTACAGCCTTTTTTATGGTGTAATTGTTTTGTATAATCCATTTTCTTTGGACACTTTTTAACTTCTGTCTGAAGCTGTTACTGCTATAATGAATGTAATCATAAATCTGCAGCAGGTAACAAGCTAAATTTAGAGCTCAATAAATTAGGGGAGAGTATGCTGTAGATAAGTAAGTGCATTGAGATGCAACAGATGGACAAAAAGTCCACTTCTGGCAGATTAACAAAGGGGAAACTCAGAATATTTGGTTCCCTCCCCCACTGACCACCATCACCCATGTTCTAATAAATAAAGATGCTGTGTGAAAATACAGGTACAGTCATAGTACTCCCAAAGAGTTCCAGAGTGTGTTGCTGCTGTGGATGGGTGCACTCTGCTGGACCACTTCCTTCAGCCACCCTGTGGATGTAGAGTGGTGTTTCTGTGAAGCTTGGAGCTGCACAGCTCTGCCACTTACCTGAGGGAGATCCCAGTTCCTCCAGGGAGGGTCTAAAACTGGGACTAGGGGTTGTCAGGCAGGACAGGACCCAGTGCTCCTGGAGCTGGACGTAGGTGCCATTGGAGCCAAAATTCTAGCATGATTCCTCAGGCACTGTGTCCCTGAAGAGAACCTGTTAGTCATGTGTGCCTCAGACCTGGGCAAGCCAAGTTCCTACAGTGAAATGGCTGGGTGATTGTCAAAACTGAGCTCGTTGTACATGTTTTCTCTTTTGAGAAGAGGAAAGAACATGGAGAAGAAAAAGCAATGGAAAGATGAAGGCAGGTGATATAAGAAACACCAAGATGGAGAGAAACCGTGTTCAAGAGAGATCCAATTCTCTCAATTGTGATCCAATGGATGTTAAGTACGGGGGATAAGTGAGAGAAGGGCAGAAAAGAGTGAAGGACAACAGAAGGCAAGACATGGCAGGGAAAGGAGAGGGTGAAATAGAGGCAGAAAAAATTAAGCAAGCAGATCAGATAACACAGATATGCAGGTCCTTTGCACACCTGGTTTAGTCTTTGTGTTTCTGTGTGATGCCTTCATGCTGGGTTGTTGACACATTAGTGGTGAGACCGTGCCCTGTGGGGTGCTGTGGCAAATGGGAATGCCACAGCTGTGCCAAGCTATTGCTGCTGCTCTTGCCCACTCGCTGTGATATTGGAGCAAAAATCTGCCTCTGTGTGACAGGACGATGGCCAGGAGCACGGCACCAGCAGTGATGAGTGACACAGCACCGGCAGTGGGGCCAGGACTTCAGGGCTGCTGGGCATCAGCAGAGATGCTGATCCTTCCTGTGCTAAACAAACAGGGATTCAGCCCCTCTTTGGTTTTTCAAATGCCATTTTCATAAGCGTCTTATAGTTGAACCAGTACCACTTTACTGAAGAGGTTAAATTCTGCCTTTTAAAAAGGAAATCAGCTGTTTTTCTGCTAAGCACAGTCGTACCCTCCTGTTGCCTCAAGAATAATGAAACGTTGACACACTGACATATAAATCATATTGCTGGAGAATGCGCCATCTCTCTTATTTGTGACTGCATCGTGCTACAAAGTGCTGCATCTTGTAATTGAGGGCTCTTTGGTGAATTCATTGCATGAAAAGTCTGTGGAAATTATTAGCATAGCACAATTCCATAATTAAAATGTTTCATACTGTTTAGATTTGAAGACTTCCTAACTGCCATATGTTACTTTAATGCAAAATTCTATGAAAACTTAAATACAAACAGAACAAAGTTCTTATGCATAGACAATGTTTTTCATTAGACCATTTGTTATAGCTGGGAAAAGCAATCAAATCATATGGGTTCAGGGACACTTTTAGGTGATGAATGAAAACTTTATTCATTGCTGATCTCAAATAAATGGGCAGTATCTCTCATAGAAATATCTTTGCCTTGCCATAAGTGACATAACCAAAAAACTAAAATTTGACCTCTAATGAAACGTTTATAGGAACTGTTGGTTTCAGGACACAAGTCTGACATTCCATTAAGAATTATCCTAAGGTAATGTTAATATTTTGATGGTTTGCAGCGAGTCAATAAATAAACATTTTCTTTACTCACAGGTTTGCAGTTTTAGATAGCTCCTGAAGTCAGATAGTTCTGCAAAACAGAAAATTCCTTCTGCCATTCTCTCTTCAGTAAAAAATGTGCCAAAATATAGCAGATAGCATGGAATCATGCTTTAACTATTAGTTGTTGTCTGCAAAGTCCATTTGTCTTCTTAAGGCTGTCATTTGGCTGCATTACCCTTTCTGTAACCCTGGAAACAACATCAAATACTGTGATATTTGAAAAGTCTGAAGTATAATGTACCCTTAAAATGCTATGAGTGGCTTTTGAGATTCCCTGTACAAAGGAAGAAAAAAATAATTTTCCTTTATAGAGGGCATTAAGCAGTGATAGATGTGCACTGCTTTGTGAGAAAGCTGGTCCTCTCCTGTTGTAGGTGGGATGAGAAACAATGCCAGCAGCACTGACAGGTTTCCACTTTACTTGCCCACAGAGTTCAGAGATCCCTTTCTCAAAGTGTTACAGAAGGGGATTTTCAGGAGGTAATAAATAAATTTTGATCCCTCTGGTTAATGCAGTTAAGGTCAAAGAGATTCTATCTGGATCTTTTTAAAATACTCTTAACCTGCAGACATACTGCTGTCTGTAGTGCTAAGTGCCTTAAGTGGATGAGGAGTGTATACAACCTTTATGAAACTATTCTTAAGTATTCTGGTTACTATATTTATCTCTGTCTTATAACAAGACAAAAAGCACTTAGCTAAATGCAGTCCTGAAGTGCTTAATCCAGTTAAGATTATTTTGTCCTTAGGTGTCTTCTACTAAGACTTCTTCTAGCTCACCATCCTGCTGCCTCATGCAAAAAGCTGCTCTGGGTGGCTAGGCCTGTGAATTCTTTAATGGCCATTTATTCTGTGAGCTCCTCCAAGTCTGCTGTTGGCTGAGGGCATTGCTCACATTCATTTGGAAGCCTCTTTCCTCTGCCCCTGGCAGCTCACATCTGCTGTACTGCAGCAGAGTGGTAGCTCTTCCTGAAGACTGGAGAATCCAGGTTTCATTTCCCAGTTTAGGCTCAGTGAGCATTAGCTGGACTGTTGATGCTCTTGGTGGCCAAACACCTTTCCTCAACTTGCTGCTATTCCACCTGAGTAGGAGGCCAACCATTCTAATGAGGCAGAAAACCCACCAGTCTTCCTGGGAGCTTTCAGCTGTTAGACAACCTGTCAACAAAGTTTCCATACAATACACTTTCTTTGAAATAATGCTTTCCACTCCAGGCTTGGAAAAAATCCTTTTCCTTTGGCTGAATTTTTGCATCATCAAGTCTGCATACAAAGAACATTCCCTGAAAAATTTTTATAGATCTTTCTGTGTATCCACAGGCATTTTTTATAATTTAACCTATTGCTTTAAAAAGACATTTCTTTATACCAATATATATCTCTGAACTTTTCCCCAGTCACCAGATCTTCTGTAGGGGTCATTCTTCTAGAGAAGAAACAACTGTGTGATTTTGATAGAACAACACTGAGGGATGAGCAGCAGTGATAAGAGCCTTAGCTCAATAGGGTAACAAATAAGATCACACGCTCCTTTTGAACTGGAATAAAAGTGTGTCACTTGACCAGGATACCACTGATGTGAGAACAGAGACAGAGCACTGAATTCCACTGAATTTAAGTTTGCTGTGCAGATGGTGTTCCCAGTTGCAGCTTCGCTGAGGGTGTCAGGAGTTACATGATATTTTCCCTAGAATATGTGTGTCCCATCAGTAGCAAGTATTAAGGGAAGGCCTTGAGTCCATTCACAGGTGGGTGGTTGTGGCTTGTGCTGACTTCTGCTGATCATGTTTGTCTTGAAGGAGGTTTTGGTTGCAAGATTTGCTAGATGAGGTACACTCATACTTCTGGTTTTCACAGCACACTAGGTAATCTGTCATACTTTGGAAGAACTCCAGTTTATCCTCAGTGGCTCTAAGCCAGTAGGGTCATCCTGCCACCCTGCTGGGTCAGACAGCTTTCTGGACATGAGAGGTTACATTGGTCTTCCCAGGTGCTTTTGTGGCAGTAGGTGGTGCCTACAGAGCCAGGAGTCTGAGAACTTGGTCCAGTTCCCATTGCTGGAGGCTTTGCTGAGCTTTCATCAGTCATACTTGAGAATGTTTCTAATTTGTGGTAGTAGACTTTTCTCAGCTTGAAGTGATTGCAGCTGTCTAGGCTAAATGTTGCCTGCAACTGTTTTAACTGGACTTTCTTTTCCTTCCAGGATTAATTTCTCTCCGTCTCTATGTACTTGGTGATAAGAAGTGATAATCCCACTCTGTCAGTCCGGACTGATGAATCTGAGGAATAGAACAGGTAATGTCTAATTTGGCTTGTAGCTTTTGGTGACTCAGGCAGTGAGAACCACTCCCTCTCTATGGAGTACATTCATAACAACATAATTCACAGTTTCTTCTGCCTGGGTCATCTGCAGGGAGGGAGATCATTGCCCTGGAGCAGGGAAGGAAGGATAAAATTTTGTAGCTATTGCTGTGAGCATCATCTTTGACTTCCTGAGAGTTGTGGGTGGTTCTGTTTTGTTGTGTTTTTGTAGCTACCAAGTTGTTTGAGTTTGAAGTAGTCTCTAAACAGAGAAAATCTTTTGGATGTACCTACTGAAAAATGCCCCTCGAGTTCTGGGTAGCATGGGGTGTTTTGCAGGGAAAGTGCTCACTGGAGATGTGGGGCAGCTTGGTTCTGATGGTGGGGATAGGAACAATTTCCTCTTTGGAGGTATCAGGTGTCTGAGGGTGTGCAATCCAGTAGAGCTAACCTGGGCAATGTGGAGTGACAGCAGCTGCCTAACCTGTACCTCCCTGCCTCTCTGTCCCTCAGACTGAGCCCATCTGAGTCACAGAAAACAAGTCACCAGTGAAGAAATTACCCTTGTGTTGAATTTCTCATCATTTAATGGGGCTTGAGAGTACTGTGTCCTTACTGAGAGTTGTTGCCACCTGTTCTCCTTCCCTGGTTAGTGCTAGGTGAGGATATTTTAAATTGAAGCCTTGGATGTTTTAAATTGAATCCCAAGACAGCTCAGATGATGTGTGAGAAGTCCACCAGTGCAAGCAGCAGTCATTGGCTGCAGAATGCTCTGGATGAACCTGTCTTTCATATCATATCATATCATATCATATCATATTTTAGATACCCTGATAATATGCTGCTGTTGCCTAATACTAATCCTTTATGGGATTAGCACAGTTTCTTTCTCTTTCTTTCTTTCTTTCTTTCTTTCTTTCTTTCTTTCTTTCTTTCTTTCTTTCTTTCTTTCTTTCTTTCTTTCTTTCTTTCTTTCTTTCTTTCTT